GTCTGTGAATTCTGTGTTCATTAAAAAATGCTAAGTAAAGCATTATGATTTTAAAACATTAGTTTTAAGATCATGCCCTTTTTAAAATCATGCCCAAACTCCCTCTTGGTTTTTGGACATCTAGATATGCAGTTTTCTTAACAAGGAATTGGAATTTACAGCAAACCGGTTGTCATAGCATTTAAAACAGTGTAGCTCTCCTGGTTTATAGGTTCTTTGAAAAAATTAAGTCAAAAATCAGTCTTTAGTATTTAGTGAAATTCTGTGAAACTTTAAAATTATGATCATTCTTAATGTATTAAAAAAACATTAGTGTGACATATTGGAGAGAATAGGTTTTGGGTCTAACTGGCTTTTCCCCTTACTAGCTATATGATTTTGGATTATTTATTTTACCCTATTCTTCTAAAAAAATGGTCTTAATACCACTTCATTGTAGAATCATGAGGAGTATGTGTGATCCTAACTATGTTTGACTATTTTTCTCTGTATTAGACCAAGAGTTGGCAAACTCCTATAAAGAGTCAGGGAGTAAATTTCTAGGCTTTGTAGATCTAAAGTCTCTGCCATAACTTCAGTGAGTGTGACTGTGTTCTAATAAAGCTTTATATATGGATGCTGACTTTTGAATTTCATGCATTTTTCATGTCATGAAATATTCTGGTTTTTTTCAACTAATTAAAAATGCAAAAAAAAATCATTCTTAGCTAGTATTCAATACAAAAACAGGTGGCAAGCCAGGCTTGGCCCACAGGCCATAGTTTATCAACTTCTTACCAGCTTGAAGACATTTAATCCTCACAACATACAGTGAGGCAAGTGTTATATCTGAATTTTATAGATGAAGAAAACAGGTACAGAGATGTTAGACGACTTACTCAGAGTACCACAGCCAGCAAGGGTTAGAACCATTAAAAAGGACTAGTGAAAAACCTCACACATGGAACAACAAATGCTGGTGAGGATGCAGAGAAAGGGGGAGCCCTGCTACACTGCTGGTTCAACCTTTGTGGGAAGTAGTATGGAGGTTCCTCAAAAAACTAAAAATAGAAATACCATTTGACCCAAGAATTCCACTCCCTTTACCCTAAGAATGCAGTTTCCTAGTCTCAAAAAGACTTATGCACCCCTATGTTTATCGCAGTACTATTTACAATAGCCAAGAAATGGAAGCAACCTAAGTGTCCATCAGTAGATGAATGCATAAAGAAGATGTGATACATATACACAACAGAGTATTATTCAGCCATAAGAAGAAAACAAATCCTACCATTTGCAACAACATGGATGGAGTTAGAGGGTATTATGCTCAGTGAAATAAGCCAGGTGGAGAAAGACAAGTGCCAAATGATTTCACTCATCTGTGTAGCAAGAACAAAGCAAAAACTAAAGGAACAAAACAGCAGCAGACTCACAGAACCCAAGAATGAACTAACAGTTGCCAAAGGGAAAGGGACAGGGTGGAGAGGGTGGGAAGGGAGGGAGAAGGGGAATAAGGAGCATTAGTATTAGCACACATAATGCAGGGGAGGGCGGCATGGGGAAGGATACAGAGAAGACAAGTAATGATTCTATAGCATCTAACTAGGCTGATGGACAGTGACTGTAATGGGGTATGTGGTGGGGACTTAATAATGGTGGGAATCTAATAACTACAATGTTGCTCATGTAATTGTATATTAATGATACCAAAGTAAAAAAAAAAAGAGACTCACTCAAAAAAACCTCACACATGGTCCAGAATCAGCTGAAATAACAGACATTTTAAAAACATTTTCCATCCTTTTATTCCACAACATTTCTTGGATTATGAGGCCACTTACAAAATCAGTTTTCTTGTAAGCACGTACTTGACTTTTTTTAAATGCTTAAAAAGATGGCTTACTTGAAATATAGGCAGGAAAAAAAATCACTCTCTTGGTTTTACATAGCCTTTTTCCCCCTGAAAATGCTTTGTGGAACAGTAAGAAGAGTAAAAATTAGCTTCCTAATTTTATGTTTAGAGAAACTGAGGTGGTCGTTTGGGGATGTTATGTGACTTTGACATTGTGTCCTAGGGCCATGGTATTACATCAGAACCAGAACTCATATATATTTCTGACATTTAATCCTAATTTAAATGCTGCAGTGGAAATGGAGAAGTAAAGCACAAAAATATAGCCTGAGACTTTTCCAACTTCATCGTGATTCAAAAGACCTATGACATCAGCAGCACAGTAAGGGTTTTCAAAATAATTTCCTATGTTATAACTGACATAGCTGGAAGAGTGAAGAGAACTACATCAACTTAAATGATAAACAGAAAAGGAACACATTTAAATCTATTTTCTTAAATGTAGATTTGCTCCTTGCCTCAAGTCAGTAGCATGCTGGCCTTTGCCACTTTTTAAAAAGAAAGTCACACTTGCTTCAGATCTAAGAATGAGAGCCTCACAGATGTTGAGAGTGTTTGCCAATTGCAAAACATTACCAAAGTTTCTTTTCCTATCCTAATAGTCGCTGAAGTAGGGAGAGGCATTTTTTTAAAAAATCACTTCTGAAGATTCTTAGGTAAGAAAAAAGCAAAGATGTTTTAGAATAAAAATATATAAGCACTGCTTTAAACCTGGATTAACCTTCCAAAAGCAACCCTGAACTTCTGCAGCCCTGCTTTATGGTAGCAGATCAAAATGCATGACCAGTATATGATATTTCCATTGTATGGCTCTCACCATTTTCTATAGGAAGAAAGCAAAACATTTTTCTTCAGCTCCTCTATAATTTAAAAAAGTCTATGCTTCACCTTTGAAATGCCTCTCATTCTCATACTCAGTAAGGTATATATAGTCTGCCACCACACCTGATCAATCTCACAGTGTTTATTGTTACTATATTTTAAAACCAGCAACAGGATTATATAATGCACCTCCCCCCAAAAATAAAAACCCTTAACTTCCCTGTTTGTTTGAATTATGAATATCATTTTTGCATTGTGCAAATTTGTGATCATATATATTTTTGAACAAACACTACTGAAGTACATATATGGTGGTTGTTACTGCCCATAGAGAGCTGGTATGTCTCCTCCATAGTGTTGGTAACACATTTTTTTACCCTATCAACCTTCCCCTCCCAAGCTGCTATTTATAGTTCATATTTCATTCCAGCTTTATTGTTCATACCATCAACTCTTTATCTTCTTATAAGCTTGTCCAGTGACTTGTAACACATTCTTTAATTACTTGGATTCTTTAACTTCTTGTTTTCCCCTCAGTGAAAAAGTTGAAATGACCTTTAAACTTTTTGACATCATGGTAGGAATATTTTTTAAGTGAAGAAACATACACGTGAAAAAAAAAAAGAATCCTGGTAACAAGTTTATAAATATGTGACTGTATTTTTCTTCCTGTCCAGAAACTCGCATTGAATAGAATTCAGGTATATTCCTCTGAAACCCACACAGTTCATAGATCTAATACCAGGTTTCCATTTGTACCAAAATAGGCAAGATAATGAAGGCACAGCCTCACTTTGTATCAATAAAGGATATAAAACACAGTCATGAGACACTAATGACATATAAGCCCAGTCAGTCACATAAAGTCCTCAGGAACTCCTCTCCCTTTAACATTTGGCAAAATTCAGTCTAGATATTTTAATACCTCAGAAAGAAAAAATAAATAATAGATGCTACATTAAAATGTCAGATTACCTATAATTAGTCTTTAGAAATAGAAGGAATGGGATAAAATGAAGGGAGGGGACCACAGATTTCCTATATTCCTGGATCATCCTTCCTTTCTGAGGGTCTCAGATGTCTCTGTGCATCTGCAGAAATGCCAGCTGTACCTAATGATTGAAGAGATTGTTGGTAGTTGCTGACATGGTCCCTCAACACTAAAAGTTTGTATCACAAAAACAAGTTAGCTTGATTTCTGCTCTTTAGTCCTTTGTTAAAAATGTAAGTCAAATTTGGTTATTTAAAGGTGATCTAAAAAGTTAAAAGGAAAAATATATTCTACCTTCCCAACAAGAAACAGATTACATATTTAGATTCATTGCAAATAAATACACTTTAAAGCTAAGCAAGTTTCTCTTTAGCAGAGTCTGTACAGACTACGAAAACACTTAACTGTTTCTCTACTGCTGATGACAATGTCACTCATAGAACATACCAGGATCTAGTTTCACAATTTTAAGAGACTTTTCCATGACATAATATGAAAGATAAAGAAAGATTTAACCTGGCTCTGAGCAGGCAGAATAGGTCTGCACTCAAAACATGCCTATTATAAATATATGACCATTGAACAACAAAACACAGTCCAAACCCTGTTTACATCAAAACCACTGTCTGTGTGATATATAATTACTTGCTTTCTATGGGCTAATACCACCCACTGCAAGACTAGAGCTGGCAGTCAATGGAGCATGCCATTTACAAGTAAGCCTAAGTCTGTAACTGCAGAAACAACATGGAAATGTATCAGCCTATCCGAAGTCGTTACATATATTTAAATATTTTTTCCAGGAAATTAATTTTGATAGCATTTCTCAAGTCCTCCAAATAAAAATACCTTGATAATTATTCTTGTTACATCAAATCTACCAAAATTTTTCATTATTTCCAAGTATTAGGAACAAATGGGCTGATACAGCATGTGTTCACAATAAATTGTTAATATTTCAGTGAGTTACAATAAACTTTTGCATGCTTGAGAAATTGTCAAGAAAAAATAAATATTTTAGGAGGATCTCAATAATTTGGTGTTTTCTTTTTGCTTTAAAAACTTCTAATATTCACCTCTGACAATACAGTATGTATATGTGTATTTATATATATATATATAAAGTATGTGCATATATATATATAAAGTTCATGTCCATGCTTATTACATAAAAATAACTATCAGAAATGTCAGTCTATCAGAATGAGCTGGTATATATCCAATTAATTCACTGCAGAAGGGAAAAGTAAGACAAAAAACTAATCAGTAAAGCTCACAGTTCAAAAATTTTNTGCTCTGTTGTGCAAGTTGATTCTCAAACTAATGGCTTCCGAGCAGATTTGAAAGGAAGCCTGAAGACTTCTTAATTGGCTGGGCTTCTGATTCCTGGTCTTGTGAAAGTCCCAATTCACTCTCAATTTGATCGAGCTCTGACTGGTCAAGTAGTTCAAAGTCATCACCTTCTTCGGTGTCTGTGTCCTCTCCTGGGCTGGGCGTGGCCTGGGAAAGAGCCGGCTGGACACTCTCTAACTGGTCTTTGATGGCAGCGGTCACTGCGGCTGTGATGACGTTCCCAGCCAGGTTGCTCATCAAGTGAAAGGTTTGGTCACTGCTCAGAGGAAGAGTGAGACCAGCTGCTGACTGCCTCTCTCTGCCTGGTCTGAGAGCACCATCCAGCTGATCCTTTTTTCTCTTGAGCTCAGGGGGCAAGCCAAGGCTTAATTCATCTTCATCATTTGTTCCCATGCCATTTTCTAGAGATGGAAAATCTGAAAGGTCTCGAGAGAAAACTTCCTCACTAGGTCGGTCAAGATCTGTGAGATGTACAACAGAGAAGTTCATGCTTAAAAGCACCATAATGAATTTGAAATAAAAGAGTTGCTAAAAGATACCAGATTTTAATACAAACCTGCTGGGCAAACTTAACATTCACCTGGCTCCTGGTTCAACTTAAATCAACTTAATCACATAGCAGACCCCTCCCAAAACCAGGACACAAGTGTGTACAAATGCTACAGGTACCCTCTACATGGTCCTCAGTTCTCCTCATAAGCACGAAGCAGCATATGAAATGACAATATTCAACTTATCTAATGTTAACTAGAGGCTTTGAGTGAGCTTAAATGTTCACAATTACAAAAATTTCACCCTGCTCCTGGGGAGGGAATTAGCTTTAGCCAGTGTGGATACCTATGATCACAAACTAAACTGTTTTCCATGCAGGTTTTCATTAACCCTGGTACAGCAATAGTAACTATTATCCAGACTTCGCATTTCTATTCGTGGAGACCTATTTGAGTATCTGTAACCTGTGTTCGTGTAAAGCAACGTATTCAAAGAAGCGATTGCTCCTTTGATTCCATATTCAACCTAGGGGCTTATGGAGACATTTGGCTTTCCATAAATACAGCTGAAATCGACCATACCATTTTAACCAGACTTGTGCCTTGAATATATAGGAACACTTTAGATTTGGGACATTTGAGAGCAACGTCAGCTTAGTAGTCAGGCAGTGAATTTAATGAAAGGCTTTAATGTGGTTGGATTCTTATGCCCCTTTTGTTGCGTAAATCGAGATAGGATGCTCAAGAACAAAGTGTTTGCTATCCAGGTTTTGTAGATACTTAGAGCTTGTTGAGCTTGAGTGGACTTCAGTGATCCTCTTGTTGTAATACACTTTAGGGGTGAGGAAATTGAGGTCCACAGAAATTATGTCACCTGTTCAAGGTCATAGAGTTAGATAATGACAAAGGCACAACTACACTTGGGTCTCCCAATCTCTAACCTGTCTTCTTCCAAACACTGCATGGCCACCTTCCTTCCACTTTAAAAAGAAAGTGGGTTCTTGCTTGTAAAATTAAAGAATTTATTCTTAATCCTCCTTTATAATCTTATATTTTCAGTACATGGCTAAAATGACTTAAAATAATCTAATGATATTAGTAAAAGTTAATTTACTGGCCAAGAGTTGTCTCTCAATTTGTTAAATTATATTTAACCTGATTATAAATAACAAGAAAGCTTTTCTTTTTCTTTTTTTTTAAACTAAATTTGAAGAAAAACATGAGAAACCTTGGAGTTAGCTTTGGATTCAAGGGAGCCTGCTTTCCATGCATTAGTCCTTTTTAATGAGGACTCACCCTGGTTATATGGGATTAGCTTCTCTCTTCCCCTCCTCCCATTATTGCTATAAACAATGCCACCAAACATTTCAGAAGTTAATTTTTTTCACTATCAATTATTTACTCGTTTTCAAAATAAAGACAGATTTGGACATTGACTGGTTTAGATTTTTTTTTCTCATACTCTTTAAAAGATTATAGCTTTTGAGATATAATTCATTACCATAAAATTTACTCTTTTAAAGTATACAATTCAGTGATTTTTAATATATCCACAAAGCTGTACAAGCATCACCACTGTCTAATTCTAGAACCTTTCCATCACTACTAAAAGAAACTCATACTAATTGATAGTCACTCCCCATTCCCTCTTGCCCCAGCCCTTTGAAGACACCTATCTCTACTTTTCAGTTACATGGATTTGCCTATTCCTGACATTTCATATAAAGGGAGATCCACCATATACAGGCTTGTGTGTCTGGTTTCTTTCACTTAGCTTAACATTTTCAAGGTCATCGTTGTTGTAGCAAGTCGGTAATTTATTATTACAGCCACGTGATACTCATTGTGTAAATACACCATGTTTTGTTTATTCATTCAGGAGTTGACAGAGTAAAATAGATTTGCATGCACTCATAATAAAAGAAACGAGAGTATCTGGAAATGTGATCATACCATCAGAAGTGTCTGTCTGTGGAGTGTATCCTTCCGAAAGGTTGAAGGTCCCGTTGTCAGTCCAGGAGACCTCAGATACGTCTGTGTCAGACACAGACAACTCTTTGGCAGCAACCGTGAGGCTAATCTGTGTTAATATAAATACCATGGGCACATTTTAAATGTCTGAGGGCAATATTTTGAAAACTTCATACTAACACCAAAAATGTCCAAACAGTTAAAACCACGAGTTTTTTTACTTTCAAAATTGTTCAGTCATCTTACAGAAATAGGAGTCTATTAGGAAACTCATTCAGCTTTAGTGCACGTAAATAAATTTACAGTCAGACCACACAAGAACACATTGAAAAGTAAACAAAAAAAATACCTTAGGACAAAGAGCTGAAAAGTCTAATTCACTGTCATCTTTGTGACTTTTGTCTTTATCTGTGTCTGTTGAGAAAAAAATTTAGAAGCTTTCAGTTTCTTGGATGGCTTAAGCATAGTATATTTTATTCATTATTCAGTTCTGCCCTTACCCCACAGTCCTTATATTCTCCAATGCTTCCATATGATTAAACTTTTGCACATAACAAGCTCCACATATTTGCAAAAGTTTGACTTCTAAGAGAAATGGTCTATATCAGTCCCTGAACGAGTAGCATCAACATGGCTGACAGGAACTTTTTAGAGCAGTAAATTCTCAAGCCCTACCCTAGATGAACGGGATCAGAAAATCTGGAGTAATGCCCAGCAGTGTATGCTTTAAAAATCTCTCCAGGTGATTCTGAACTTGCTTGAGAATCTATAAAGTGATAGGCCAAGTAAAAAAGTGAAAAATGATTACATTTGTTTTTCCTCTATTTTCTTCTCTTTCCCCTGTTTTGTTCAATCCCCTCTTATATGACTCCCACACTTTTAGCCCTACCTGTGTCATTTTTTATTTGCAATAGTCCACCCCCAAAATAAAACAATTTTAACAAAGTAAATCATAAATAGCAAATACAGAATTGTGGAATCCTTTTTTCCATCCCTTGACAATTTGGATTAAAAAGTCGATTTCATGTTGGTTGAAATGGTTGAAAAAGGAATAAAAGCCTAAATAGTAAATGGCTATGTTACTTTGGGGGGATTAGCTTCTGTTATTAAACAATATGTAGTAAAAAGGCTAAAAAGCACCTGGAATGTGTTCAAAGTGATTTCATAATAAATAGCCAGCTGATGTCTCATTTCATGTGTGGAATCTAAGATTCAAACTTTACCTACCAGATCTTTCACGTTTCTTCTGATTAATATATTCTCCAATTCCAAAATCTAGTTTCAGCAGAACTGACTTGATTTTGCTGTATATTTTTTGTCCTATATCATTACACTTAAACAGTGGACACAAAAATGCACACAGCACTGAAATACAAGAAGGAAGAGGGTGTAGGTAACATGAACTTTCTAAAGGTTACATCTTGGTACTTCACAAAAATATTTCAGTTACTTTACTGACAAGTAGTTTTCTCTTGGGGAAATGCCTCTGTGAAATAAGTTTATAATTTCTATTTTCCCTGTGAATGAAAATGAAAACATTTTCTCTTGCACACACACACACACACACCATGCTTACAGTCATTGTTTTCAAAGACTTGCAATTAAATCAACTCCATTCCTTCAATTCTTCCAGCCTCAAAAGTTACAGAGATTACATACTTTCCAGACAACAGTCCTGTATTAAAATCTCAACTCTGCTTATTGTTAAATAGCCATTTCACCATAGAAAACTTATTATTATCTATTAGCCCCTTATCAGTAATATCGGGATAATACCATTACCTCTTGGAGTTTTGTGAAGAAAAAATGAGATAAGCACAAACCATCTGAATAATGCCTTGCCCATACTAAAGTCTCCTTCCCCATTTCTCTTCCCCTTTACCTCCTAAACAAGGCAGATCAAGGGCTGATATTCTGTATGAGTTCTGGTTGGGAGAACGGATTTGAGCTCCAACCTTCTGTCATTTGCGTTATGCATTAGGTATTCAAAAAGAAATAAAGATTGACACAGTGAATATATTATGTTCCTTAATGTTTATGTCTTTGTGGTTGTTAGGAAATGTACCCATTTACCTTTTATACAGGAGTTGCAAACTCAAATATCTCTAGAAGCCAAGGAGGTGTACATACATTTTAAAAGTTGGGGTAAGAAATATAGGGAAATATGAGGGTCATTTAAGTGGAGGGTGCCTGACCCATGTAAAGGTGGCAGTCCCAGATCTTCATTTTTTTCTTTTTTACAGCATTTTTTAAGTTATAGTTGATATGCAATAAATTGTACATATTTAAATTGTACAATTTAATAAATTTTGACATATGCATACAAGAAACCAATCACCACAAACAAGATAGTCAGTGTATCACCCCCAAAACTTTCCTCATGTTTCTATTAATCCTTTTCTCCTGCTTTTCCCTAATCCCACCCACCTTATCCCCAGGCAAACACTTAATGTGCTTTATCACAAAAGATTAGTTTGAATATATATAAATGGAATCATACAATATATATTCTTTTCTACCTGGCTTCTCCCACTCAACCTAATTATTTTGAGATTTAGCCAGATTGTTGCATATATCAAATTTTTAGTGCTCCATAGTAATCCATTGTGTGGATATACCACCATTTGTTTACCCATACATCTGTTGATGGACACATGGATTGTGTACCAATTTTGGCTACTATAAATAAATTTACTATGAACATTCATGTACAAGTCTTTGTGTAGACATTTTCTCTTGGGTAAAATACCTAGATGTGGAATGGCTGGGTCATATAGTAGTTTTTAAGAAACTGCCAAATTATTATGCAAAGAGGTTGTACCATTCTACTTACCCACCAACAGATTGTGAGTACACCAGTTGCTTCATATCCTTGCTAATACTTGATAGGGTCAGTATTTTTAATTTTAGTCATTCTGGTAATGGTATCTCATTATATTTTTAACTATGTTTTTGAGCCTCAGAACATGTATATGAGAAAAGATTATCAGTGGGGGTGGGGAGTATAGCTCATTTATAGTTTTACTGACATGATTTAAAATAAAATTAATTACTTGTAACTGTGCCTTATAACTAGCTTTCCAATTTTTAAATACAAACAAGTCTCTAGGAAAAGGATAAACTTTGTACATCGGGAAATTAAAGTATAATCAACTTGCTTTATAGTTTAGAACTCATTCCTCCTTTTCCAAACAATCGTAGATCTTCTTGACCATTAAATGATTCCTTATGCATCACATAAATTAGCCAAATGCTCTATAATACTTACACAGTAGATAGCTGAGTATAACCCCGGGAATGTAACTTCCCAGGATTGTAAAAAATGTGCACACACTGCAGACCAGGAGACAAAACTAGAAATAACAGAAATAACGTGTGACAGTTATGCATAACACTAAGACATTTTAGAGCACAGGATGCACACACAAATTATTTATCTATATGCAATCTATCCTGTTACAGCAAATGTCTTTCAAACAGTGTTCTTTTGCATTTAGATCTGACTAATAATGACTGCTGTGTTCAACCAGCTTTAAGTAACTATTTAACACTTAGTAATAATCATTCTGAGGATCCAGAAGCTAATTTTCGGCACACAAAATGTCTCATATTAATCATGCCTGTCGTGACATTACTGCTAGATTGAAAAAACTGAAGGATAATGTGTCCCTAGAAATTTGTTTTACTCAGGATCACTTACAGAAAATAATGCAGCCTGGTAATCAAAGCTGCAAGTTGAAACCACTTCTATAAGACCCATTGAAATTCAGAAACAAAGTAAAACATTTACAGAAATTAGAGGCATTTACAGGAATGTAATGGTAATTCACACAGTGATAAACTGCTGGGATAGATCTGCTGGCCATTACTATCCTCTTCCTTATCATATCCATCCCTCAAATTGATCCCACTCCTAAGTCACCTAGAAACCAACTGTGAATAAAATGAAGTTCCTAATGAACTGTGATTATTATCCCTCTCTCTGTCAGCTGTGGCCAAAATAGTCTTGGCTGTTTAAAGAAATTTTAAGCATCAAGACAGAAAAATTCTCCCATAAATTCTCCCTTGTTTTTCACAGTCTAGTCTTAAAAATAAACTATTTTCTTTTACCTTATCTTTAAATTATGTTTTTACATAATACAGATAGGCAAAGAAAATTCACTAAGGGATTTAAAAGGACACCTAAGGAAAGGATACATAACTCTGGTCAATAACTGATTAAGAGAAACAGCTAGGGGGGTGACTACAATTCAGATTAACTTTGATTTCTTATTCTTTGGCACAAGGCTAATTAACCAGTCAAATGGAGAATAGATGAACTTGTGGAACAAAATTAAGAGCTGTTTCTGAAACAGCAGGAGTCCTTTAAGAATATGTAAGTCTACTTAGAATTAAATGGAAGAGGAAAGACCATAAAAGTTGAAAGAACAAATAGGTCTACAAAAGCAGTACTATACATCCAGAATTCAGTTTTGCAAAGGGATTTCATACTGTCCACTAAATTTGTAGCATCATCTTAAGCTTGACTGATGGGTATGTCACTGTAATCCAGTGCAGAAGTTTCAGGTTCAGAATCTTCCAAAAATGTGTTTCATCATTCCAGTAAAGTAGGCATAAAAAATGCAACTCCTCCCCCCCCCCATGTGGATATCTATTAGAAAAATCGCCTTCAGTGATTTTTTAAAAATCCATCTACATACAGTGTTGCCACTTCAATATGCTCAAAACGTGTCCAAGCACAGTTCTATATTCAATACTATTGAAGAGCTTGTCTGTGCATGGCACAATGAGAGGGACTTTAAATGCCAACATTCCTGGGCTCATTTCTTCCAACTACAGATGGACATTCAAGAAACATGACTGGAACACTGGAAGGGAGAGAGTCTGGCTATGGTTCTATACTTTGCCCATGCTAAAGATCACAGTGGAAGCTGCCTATACATGTAAAAACACTACAAATGTGTGTGCCCTTCACGCAATCCTTTTCAAATTACTTTGGACTCTTCTCCTCATGGGTTTTCATTCTAATTGGAAAACTACTCATTCCATTTATATAATCACTAGGAATATTTTTTGCCAAAGGTTTCTTTTCTTAAATAAATCATACAAGAATCTCCATATTTTAGACTGAAAGGGGGACCCATCTCATCCTCCTCTGACTTCAGAACCAGCCTAAATAATATAAACTGAAATTCTTAGTAAGACTTTTTTTCCTCCTTGATCTGGCTTACAAGACTATCACTACTCATTTTAGTTAATAAACTAGATAAATACATACAAAATAGGAAAGCAACCCAGTTTCAAAACACAAAGTTGAGAATTTTCTAGTGCCAACACATTAACATTTCTGAACCTTGCTAACATCGGCTTTTATGGTATGTGTTCCTAGTATATTATATGCAGAATTAGAGAATTATAAGCTGATGGAATAGGTTAATTCATTTGTTTCCAAGTTAACTGCACATTTTCAAGCACACACAGTAATTCTCCTGTAGTGGAAAACTTGCCTTGCCAGGGCTCTGCTGTTTAAAAAGAGACATTTCCTGGAGAAATATGCTGAAATTCATCCATGATTCTGTAATACAGTGGCTGAGCCTGGGTCTTTCATCTGGTTTGGAATTGATGACTTCCCAGCTAAAAAGAGAAAAAGAAAAAAATTTTAACTGAACTTTGGATGATTCTTTCAATGTTCATTGCCTCAGCAAATGTTTATTGAGCACCTACCACTGGAAACACTTTCTGGAAAAGCCCTGTGAATTCAGAGGGGGAAAAGCCAAATAACTGTCTTCCAAAGCTCACATGCCAAGAGAAGAGATCCAAGCCAGACAACTAGCTGCACAGTCTTCCAATCACAACAAAGAGTAAGCTGAAGGGCAAGCGTAGGGTGGCAGCACTGGGACATCTTCTCTGAAGAAGTCACCTTTATACTAAAATCTGAATCAGCAGTAGTTTCCCATTAGGACTTGGAAGAGCTCCAAACAGAATATACAGCATATGCAGAGGCCCTGGAGCAAAAAGGACCTAAAAGCACTATTCTATTGTACCCCAGGTGTGGTCCTGGCAGAGTGAACCAGAAGAACAACACTGCATGAAGCTGAGAAGGGAGGAAGGAACCTAATCTATACAGGGCTTTGTAGGACATGTTAGAAAAGTTTTAAACCTTTAAAGGTAGGGAAGCCACAGTACTTTTAGAGAAACTTTGGCCTTAATCCTGTAATTGTCATCATCGCCATCAACAATCCATTTTCAACTTATCAACTCAATGAAAGATTGTTAAATTCAACAGGATCTCACAATATCCCACATTTTTCTAGAGTATCTTTTCCTGAACATCATCATAGAATGTGCTGAATGTGATGCAGGGGCTAGGCATGTGCTATGTGTCCCTCTCCTTATTTTTCCACAGTATCCCGAGCTAAAAACTAGTCATAATCACTCTAGAAAGAAGACACAAGGCATTGCCTAAGATATGCAAACACAAGACATTGCCTAAAATTACAATGACATCGCAGGTTCAAATCCTGCTCTTTCAATCCTAACTCATCATGAAAACATATCAGGTCAAACAAGCTCTATTCAAGGCCTCCACCTTTATTCATTTAGTAGAATTATCAGTCCCATCATGTTGAAGACATTACCACAGAGCTAAGGATATGGCAATAAACTAAATAAGAGTTTCTAGTAGAGACAAAGACACTTAGTGAACTATCATCTGAGCTATGGCTGCATGGGTCTCAGGGTGAGACTGACCTCTGGATTCAACCCCAGTAGCCATGAGACAAATCAAAGCTACTTTAGCCCTTAGATGCTCAACTGTACAGAAATTGTGTACATATAGATTCTGGTTTTTTAAATATACTTTGAACAGTAAGGCAATTTGCAAATTAAATCATTAGAATTCCCTTTTAAATATACTTTTTAAATTATATTTAAATGAGGCAATAGTATTTTAAAAAAGCAAAAAAAAAAAACAACCAAAAAGTATCTTATTTTCCTTCCTCTTTGTTCTATTGGCCTCAACTAATGCTCTGCCAGAGAGTCAATGAGCTACCAGCTGTTCAAGCTGATGCTACTCCACTAGGCAGATACTTGCCATTTGAGTTCCTGCCTGTCATAAGAAATGGACTTGTAGGGATAGTTAGCTGTCAGGGAGTGGTCATGTATGTATCCACTAACCCTACCCACTCTTGAATTACTGAGCAAGCCTCTTTTCACTGGAGACCAAATTAGTGCTAGGTTTGCATACTTTATGAATGATTCCAGATCTATTAAAAGAAACACTAAGTGCATGACTAGGAAGCCACTATCTCTAACAAAATCTTGCCAATATGTCTCCTTAGTGGGAAAAGATTTTGTACAGTAAAGCAAAAAACTTCAATGGCAAAGGAAATAATCAGGTTATTAAATTGTGGCCTCCTTTCTCAGAACAACACAGACTTGCTACAACCTGGCATGTCTAGGACAGGCTAGGCTACTGCTCAGTTAACGGGACCATAAAGCTGACACGAGTCAGATTTTAATTTCTGCTTTCTATACCTATTGAGTGGTATTTAAGGATTGGTTGAACTGTTTAGCAAATATAGTTCTATCAAAATCAACAAAAAACATAATAGAATGAACTGATTATCACTCTTTTAATGATTCAAGTGGAATGAATGAACGTTTCATATTTTGAAACAAATATAAGCTATACTTCCATTCCATAGATAATGAACAAATAAAGTGAGTTGTGTTCAAGCAATGAAAGAAGAAATAGTAGTGGAAATGAATGAACTCAAGCTCCATGAGTGTATATGAACCTCAGAATACTGAGAAAAAAAATCACACAATACATACAGCATGATTTCATTTAAACAGAGCTCAAATCATAATAAGCTAACAGATTAGTTAAGCAAGGAAGTGATAAAAATACAAGATTCAGGAAAGGGGTCCCCTAAGGCCAGGGAGGGATGTGGGTATGTAGGGGAAGTGACCTGACTTGGGCAAGGCATTGCTTATCAAGTACTGGTCATATTCTACTTCTTAACTTAGGAGAGGAACACATGAAAATTGACTTATTATTGTTCTTAAAGCTACACATGTATATGCATATTTATATATAAATGGCTCTTACTTACTAGTTTTTTTAATAAATGATACTTTATATAAAAGTTGGAACCTTGTTCTAATACTATCTTTAGAATTCATGTCTCAGAAGTGACACATTTGTATACATATTTCACTACTCTAGGAAATGCCCTAAAATTGGAAAGCAGTCTAGTCTAAATTACCTAAGTTATCTCCAAAGAGATGACGTTATGGCAAAATCTTCATGTAACTTAAGGTGCTTAATACATATCACAATGAAATAACTAAAAACTCTTGTTTTGCATTTTAGGATCTGATCTGTTTTCATAGTGGGATTTAAGTGGAGAAAAAGAAACCCCAGTATCCAAGCATCCATTACCTCACTCCTTTATTCATAAAAAGGTATCAAGTTCCCCTTTTGTGTCTTATGGTATAGTTGGTATGTTAGTATTGTTATTTCCAATCAACAAAAAGGACACAGAAGGGAACCGTGCTACAGGTATTCAGTTTTTGTTGGTTCTGAAGTTAATACAGGTATGACCCCCACCCCACCACCACCACCACATACACAGTTGCTCCATAATGGGACTCTAGGTTTTCCTAGAGAGCCTTGTCTGGAAAACACATAACCAGAGAAAGTATCTCCTGTGAGTACAGGATGATGCTTGGGAAACAGTTCTTTTACACAGTGTGTGGCTGTCTTCCCGCCATCTTGGGTACTGATCAACGGGCAGTGTTAAGGCCCAAGTAACATAAAAGGAGGCTCAAAAACAGTTTGCTGCTTTACCAAGTTCTTAACCAAAGAATATACATCTATAAATGAAGCCCATCCAAGGGAGAAAGTTATTTACCAGTTGCTTCAGCGTAATATTCCAGGGCAGAGAATATGGCTTTTCCAGTGAAGTTCTTGGTCCTTCCTTTCTGCCTCCCTCCCTCCCTCCCTTCCTCTGTCTTGCCCCCTTTCTTTCCTCCTTGCACCTCTTTCTTTCACTCATGCCTCCACCAAGGAGTGAATCTGCTGCATACTCCAGCCACGAGATGAGGACCACTATCCCCAACTTCCTGCATTCCCAGTGAATCCAGTTCCGGTGGTTCCAAGCGGGAAGGCACAACTCCCAGGACCTTGTGGCCCTGCTGTCTTTCAAATGGGCTTTGCCCAAGGACCTGCAGCTTTGCCTTCCGAAAAAAGGTACAAGACTAACTTGCTGGCTGATTGCATTTAGTTACTCTCTCCTTCTTAACAATAATAACAGACAGATTCTTGACAAAGGACTTCCTGCATGGTCAAGGCGAGCAATGACTCATCCAAGAACCCAAAGTCAGAGCAAAGTGCTTTCTCGGCTGCTGAAGAATTTATGGTTTCATCTGCCTGTGAAACTCTAAGGGAATAAAAATCAGAAAGATGGCTCCTCTTACGAGCAGCTCACCTTACCACAGAAGGGAGCTCTGGCTTCCTGGTGGCATTTGAAGCCATCTCTTCTTTCTGCCTCCACATCCCTATTAGAATACAACTAAGTACATACATTTGGTGTTCGGGCCAAAGTAACCCCTTTAGGTCCTCCCAGACTGAATGTGTGGGGACCCCCGGGGCACTGTGTAACAGCAGCCATCAGGCCTGACTCCAGAGATTCCATCCCCAGATGGAGCAGACTTGGGGTGGGGGACAGAAATCTGCATTTTGAAGAACTTCCCAGGTGATTCTGAGGTAGGTTTTTTTTTTTAAGATATCATTGATATACAATCTTATGATGGTTTCACATGAGCAACATTGTGGTTATAACTTTTACCCATATTACCAAGTACCCCCACACCCCACTGCAGTCACTGTCTCTCAGCAGTGCTCAGAGCAGCTTTAAGATGCTATAGAGTAACTCCTTGTCTTCTCTGTGCTATACAGAGGCAGGTGTTTCTTACCCTATGAGAAACACCCCATAAGAATTCACTACATAGAATTCTCATTTGAAAAGTAAAGACAGAAATTTTGTGCCTCTTTATCCCTTTCACCTATATCACCCACCCACCCTAACCCTCCCCTATGGTAACCACCCACACTTCTCAGTATTGATGAGTCTATTATTTTGTTCATTTTGTTTTGTTTTTAGATTCTATATACAAGTGAAATTATATTGTAACTATACTAGTTGGAGTGAGCATTTAATAATGTAGGTAACTGTGGAATCACTATGTCCTGTATATTTGAAACCAATACATTACTGTATGTCAACTACACTTCAATAAAAGTAATTAAAGACAGAAGTGGAATTTACTTCAGGCAAGATGATATATTAGGGACCCAGTTTGCCCTCCCATCCAAAGCAACTGAAAACAGAAAAAAATAGGCAAAATGTATGAAACAATATTTTTACGACCCTGGACATCATGCAAAGAAAAATGCTAATCTGGTTAAGTCAGTCCTGTGATTGGCCAGCACAGCAGGCATGGGGGGTCAACCGGGTACATCCTGGCAATGGCCTGAGTCCAGACTGAAGAGCAAAGGAGCTGCAGTGGGCAGAACAGAGGGGAGAGAGTGGAGCCTGCAGAGGGAATGCTGACTGTCTGCAGGGGTC